AGGCATTATTGTTTAAAAAAATAGGTATTTGTCTTTAATTATATTTACTTTTTACAGCTATCAGTTATCACAGAAGTTGTAAAATTATATGTACTCAACAAAACTTTTTTTTTTAAGTCCTAGACCATGAACCAAATTTATCAAAAAAACTTTGTACCCCCTGTATAAAATGCCTAACACTGTGTCTGCTTACAAAGTAAGTAGGATGTAGGTATTTGCCTTATAGTTTTAATTCAAAAGTTTTCAAATATCCATAAATCATATTTAATAAAAAAAATTCTATTAACTACTTAAATATAAAGTGTTTACATAGCCAAATGCCCAAATTATAACTGAAAAAGCAGAGAAGTTTGTTCTTTAGACTTAAATAATAAATTAAAATGATGAATTACTTAACCTTTATTAAAAATCTAAATCTAATCGTGCTTAATAAAATAAATTAAATATATGAATATTTTTCTAATAAAAAAAGATTGTAAATAAAATACCTAACAAATAATTAATAAATTTAATAGGTATAGGTAGGTATTTTTTGTAATTTTTTTACTGTACAAATTGATAACATAATTCATATTTTATACATAATTTTGACTGTTACTACCTAATTATAATTACCTTTTACAGCTGGTAGAGGTTCTTTAATATCACTTCGATTATTTTCTATTGATATTAAAAAAAAAAATGTAGATATTCAGTTAATCTATATAATACAAGTTTTCTTATAAGATTATCTACCTTTATCAAAAAAAAAAATGTCTATAAGAAAGTCAAATTAAATTTTTATGAGCGTTTGAAATTTAAATTTTTAAAACATTAGATATTCACTCCATTTCTCATGTAGCGATTTCCTTATTTGGTTGTAATTCAAAAACGAATAACTGTAGATACATGAAAATTTCACTGAATGTTTATATTAGCATTTTCTATACACCATACAATTTTGAAAATATTTTGATTCTTTTTGAGCTGTGTACGGACATTTACAGCTTTCAATTTTTTTAGTTTTTTTTTCTATAAATATCAATAAAGTTTTATCTGTTGGTCATCCTGATATCTTGTTACAATAGCGATTGAAAAATATCAAAAATGCATAGGCACAATTTTTTTTTATAAGCATTTAAAGATCGAATTTTGACAAAATTTATCAACATTAATTGAAAATTATCAATCATTGTAATTAATAAATTATAAAATGTTCAGTTTTTATAGCTAAGGATTACAAATTTAAAACAAAGGTTCCCATAAATAGTTCATACTTTAACCAAAAAATCTAAAAAATATATGAACACAGTTATTTTTTACAGACATTTTAAATTCAAATTTGGACGAAATTACATAATAAAAAACCTAGAATAACTATTTTAGTTATTTTGTTGTGATTGTATAATATTATTCGTGGGTAGGTACTTGAAACTTCTAAAGTACACTATTATATATCTATGATAGTATCACGGTTTGTTGTTGGTGTATAACGCGTTATAAGTACCTAATGGATATTATGATATGATTAATATGGAATTCATTATAGGTCAATTTTTTTTTTAGATAAGTATATAATATGTCTTGTACCTAGAAGGACATACCGTCTCCGCTCAGAATCGTTTTTCTTATACAATGATATAATATCATTAAATTCAAATGTAATACCATCCATTATACAGTGGCCCACTTGTAACCTACTGTACAGCAGAGCGACACTCACTTGCCCCCTTTTTTTATTGTGATTATGTACAGATAAACAAACAATCGCCAACCCATGTTATATAAATAACTTATTTTAAATATAAATATTACCACAATCCCGTTGGTCTAAAAACATTTTATAATTAGTTGCATTTATTTTAGTAAAAATGGAATATTAAAAATTATTTGCCGCCCACGAGCAATTGCCATCCTAAATACTAACTTATAGTGTTTACTGGTAAATACGGCACTGATTACATTAATCGTTAAATAGAATAACTAAGCATTTAACTTACAGCTTACCTATTGTGATTGAATATACAATGTAAATTTTAAACTGACTTGTCTCGCTCATTGGTTGACGTAGTAGATACCATGCTGCTTCTTGCGCTGACATCTCGACAGCGTTAAGTAGCTTGATGCTTAAAGCTTTCAACTGGTCTGTGTAGTCCCGTTCGGGATGCTCTTGCATCATCGTAGTAAGCTCATGACGTAGATTGCCCATTCCACGAGCTGATTTATTTACGTACTCCACAACATACTCTAAGCAGCTGTATTCATCCGTGATAAATTGAATGTCGGTGTTTGAGTTGACTTCGCCAGCAATGTACGGATTGAACGTGTTTGTCATAAGTTCGTCAAAGTTTCGTCTGAACAGAAGAGTTGGTCTGCGTAACGTTGAGCGCACAATGTCAAGGTATGAATCGTGTGACAAACCATTAGCTTCCAGAAAGTCATCCATGCCTTCGTACCGACGTTCATCGAGCGAAGTACGCAGCTCTTTCGCATTCTGTTGTAGTGTTCGACGGCGTTTATGAGATTGAGGCATTGGAACTAATACACGAGTCGTAGACATTGGCCAGTACGGAATTCCGAATCTACAAATTGTCTCACCTCGCTTCGTGCATGTGAAAGTATGTTTGTGTATCTGGTTGGCGTAGATGGAATTGTTAGGTACATCATTCCGGGCTACCGTACTCAATTTATCTACGAGCTCAATGGTTTTTGGCATATTTTCTGACGGGGTTTCATGTGGGTCGTTGTTTAACCATAATAAAATGTGTGCGTGGGGGCTTCCTCGATGCTGGAACTCAAAACGAATGAAGTAATCCCTAACAAAATACTCTCCGAATGGATTATAGGACTGTTTGGATTGCAGAATTTTCATCAAGGAACCGACGAGCTTGTAGAAGTAAATGCAGCACGTCACAGGATCGTCACTAACTAAAGTACAGCTCTCGGAAGTGTTGAGTTCTCCTGCTGATTTTCCAGGATATTTATTGCTCAGTCTGAGAAGTATAGTAAGCAATTTCATCCATCGTATTTCGTTTGCACTTATCGTGAGAAAGATGGTTGGTTTACCAAGTTGTCGAATCATGGCGAAGAGATCACGTTTGAGAGAAGCCCAGTATTGGACGGAGTTTGGCACTGTCTTCATGAATGCGAGGTTTTGTAAGACCTATTCTTTCAGAAATTCTAGGTCTTCTAACATACGTCGTGTAAGATTTTCTGTGACTGAAACGTTACGAAACGTGCTGTAAATTCCATCCACCATACGTAGCCGCAAAATGTTCATTGATACGTACAAGATTTTTTTGAGGCGTGGCTCCGCGTCTATCGCTCCGTCGTATTTCTCTGGTTGCCATCATGTAAAGTGTCACTGAAACTCCCATGTGGAATCGACGTGGATTTCCATAGTATATTGATGGGAATGACAACTCTTCTGCATGACGGTCGTAAATGATGTTGAGGGGAGTTGCCCGGTATCCTGGTGCGATATTGAGACAATCTTCTTGGTTCCACATCACGGTATGTTGTCTTGAAGCGAGAATTTCAGATTCAGGGTTCTGTTCTGAGGAGATATTTTCTATACGGCTTGATGGGTCATCCTCTACGTCATCGAGGTCTGGCAAAGCATGATTCATTCTTGACAAGTCCATTTTGATTTCGTACAAACGATATAATGGAGAGATCTGCAGAACAGTTAACCACGAAGTAACTGTACTTTTGGACATGTATCCGCAAATGTAAACAGATTTGTGGGCAAGGTTTCTTTTAATGTTTACATTAATAACGTCGTCCTCATCCAATTGTCGCGGCTAGCATTTTACCTTTTCTTGGACGTCGACTGGTACGTTTATCACTTGTCCTACGATTCCATAAGAGAAATCATGGCGCAGACGACGCACTTGCATAAATGGTAGACGAGGTGAAATCAATCGTTCACTGATGGGATCTAACGGTGGGTGGCCTGGTGGTGGGTCAGGATAAGAGAATCCATTAACTTTTGCTAGCGGTGGCATCGATTGTTTGTTCAGTGACTTTTTGCAAGTGTTGCAAACCAGTTTATATTCTTCGCTGCTCAGTTATCGAATTTCTTTGATAAACCAATCCGAAATTACCTTCAGCTGTGCTGCAGTGATGGGCTTAAGGTCGTTTCTAAACCAAAGTCTGTCACAGACCGAGCAAGCGTAGCCAAAATCGTTGTCCAAAAAAGTAGATTTGAATATCATGATTGATGATAACCATTTAGTGTTCCGAGTAGATTGTGCTTGAACTTCAAATTGATCTGAAGAAGTACAGTAGTTTCTGCTGGTTCTGTTGCTAAAGTTTGACGTTGTTGGTCGGTAAATTGTCATTGGGTATCAATATGGATGGTGTTTAACCTTTGCCCTGAACGCGATGAGGATGTAGTTGTCGCTTCTAGAGAACCACTGGCAATAACCTATAATATTATTTCATATGATATAAAAATAATTTAGGTTAAATTTGGTGATGATGACCCGGGGTGGGTCCCGTGCCTCAAGAGGGTTGAAAATGGCAAAATAGGGTAGTTTTACGGTTTTCTGTATTTTACTCTAAAACAGTTATAGTTATGATAAAATTACAAAAGAGCTTTATTAAAGAAAATACAATTTTCTATAAATAACTATATTACAACATTTTACGAAAATCTATTGTTTTCTCTGAAAATAAAAAAAAACAAAATAATTTAATTAATAGGCAAAAATATCTGATTAACGGTTTTTTAAAAATATTTTATGAACGGTTGAAGATATGATCAAATGTTTATTATTATATTAAAAATGATCTGAAATTACCGTCATCGTTATCGAAAGTAGATAAAACTCGGATGGCGATAAAATAAAACTTAATAACAGTTATGAATTATACAGATAAACAAAATAATATTTATTAAATTACATTTTATATTTTAGTTGTTGTACTGCACTTGAACGTGTCTCGTTTTTATAATTTTATAGTGATTGTTTTAAGTTATAATTTATACGTTACTGTTTCAAAATTTATTTTACAAAATGCCTAGACAACAAATTTATTTAATTGGACCCATGAATAATCAAATAACTGGTTCTAAATTGCCTTTCAAGAGGGACTGTTTGTCTGTTTTATTTTATAATATGCGCTTAGTAAACCTAAATTTACATGATAGTTCACGTTTGGTTATTGATGAATGTTCAATTTTTTGGAAGAAAGCTCGAATTCCAACTCATGATAATTCAGATTGCATTAAAAAACTGAAAAAATTATACGAAGAATGGAGAAAATTAGACAAAAATAAAACACGAACAACAGAATTACAGAAAACACATGAAAACAAATTCGAAGAACAATTAGACAATTTATTTGATTTATCCCACGCCAATGCCTTAAATTTAATTAAAATAGAAGAAGATAAGCAATTTTTATTAAGACAACGAGAGAAAGGTCGTCCTGGTTGTATGCTTGGTACGGATATGAAATTAGCGGGTATTGAAAAACGTAAAGCGACTCTTAAAGAAAATGAAGATGGACGAAAAAAACGACGAGAACTGGAAACCTTAAAATTAACCGGTAAGTTATTAAATATAGGCAATTCAATTGTATACGTATTTTCTTAATTTTTATTAGTGTTATAATTTATTTTTAAATAATTATTTTTTAGAAAGAATTCGACTGTATAGTTCATCTAGTTCTGAAACGAATGGGTTGGCGATTGTTTGTTTATCTGTACATAATCACAATAAAAAAAAGTGGGCAAGTGAGTGTCGCTCTGCTGTACAGTAGGTTACAAGTGGGCCACTGTATAATGGATGGTATTACATTTGAATTTAATGATATTATATCATTGTATAAGAAAAACGATTCTGAGCGGAGACGGTATGTCCTTCTAGGTACAAGACATATTATATACTTATCTAAAAAAAAAATTGACCTATAATGAATTCCATATTAATCATATCACAATATCCATTAGGTACTTATAACGCGTTATACACCAACAACAAACCGTGATACTATCATAGATATATAATAGTGTACTTTAGAAGTTTCAAGTACCTACCCACGAATAATATTATACAATCACAACAAAATAACTAAAATAGTTATTCTAGGTTTTTTATTATGTAATTTCGTCCAAATTTCGACTGTAAAAGAATTCGACTGTATAGTTCATCTAGTTCTGAAGATCAAGATACACTTTTAGAGGAAGTTTTAAGTGAAACTCCTGGTTGCTCATTACCAGTCTTGTAAAGTATTTGAGTAAAAGTATTTGAGTAAATGTATTTAAATACTTTTATTGTATTTAGAATACTTTTTAATACTTTTTGAATAAAGTATTTGGAAAGTATTTTAAATACTGTTTTGGACGTATTTGTATTTGAAAATCAAATACTTTTATTTAAATACTTTATCGATTTTTTTCGAGCTACGCGAATCGAGTATTAAAAAAGGGCGAAAAACGATAGAAAATGGTCGAAATAGTGTGAAAAGGGTAAATTTTCGAAAATTTCAAAAATCGGTGAAATGATAAGAAAATAAGTGATAACGCGGGGCCGCGGCGACGGAATTTTCTCATTGGCGTTCCTTATTTGCTGCGTCGCGCCTGTCGGACAAAACAGGAGACTATTCGCGTTTTATAATGGACACGTGTGCTCAGTTGTCTGTTCGGTCACATTTTTAACATTTTGTTTTTATTTATTGAATTGTTATACTTGATGACTACAACTAAAACCTCTAAATCTGATGAGAAGATGGATGAAACTCAATGTGAGTCCTTGCAGTTACGGTTACCTTGGAATACATACAACAAACATTTCAAAGTTCTAAAAATAATTGAGGATAAATTTTCTTACATAAAGTATTATGTAAAATGTTTACATTGTGTTGGTCCAAAAACTTTATCCGCAGATACCAGGTCTACTTCAAATTTAAGGAAACATTTAGCTGTAAGTATTAATTAACATTAATAATTAAATAATTATTAATTTTATAGTTGTAAACTTGGTTTTATTGATGTATTTAATATTTGTATACTAGATAATATTAATTTGCTGAAGATTATAGTAATACTATAATACATACCCAACACTGGTAATATCACTATAATATATTACCCAACATTAAAAGTTATTAGCCGTCCAACATTAATGAAAAGATTTGATAGTAATGTAGTTGATGTATTGCAAAATTTAAAAAAAGAAATGAGTCTTGTAAATCATGTAACAACGACAGCTGATTGTTGGTCGATATTCAAGAGGTATGTGCCTATTTATTGATGATCATTTTTAACATTATTATTGTTTCGTTTATTTATCATTTAAATCAAATTGTACTTTGATTAGAATAGTAACTTAGTTTCTAACAATTTTCTAGGTCCTATATTGGTATAACTGGGCATTGGATCAATGTAAGCACGTTAGAAAGAGTATCTTGTTTATTAGCCATACGACGACTTGAAGGAAAACATTCCTATGATGTTTTGGCCAAAAGTATGGAGTCAGTTTATTCAGAATTTGAAATCAATAATAAAATTTCATACAGTACTACAGATAATGGGTCCAATTTTGTGAAGAGTTTTAAGTGAGTCTAAATAAAAAAAAAAATATTAATTTAATTATTCTATAAATTGTACATATTACATAATATACAAATTGTAAAATACCCATGCAAAATAATAATAATAAGTCAAGTGTTTATTCAGTTTATTGTTCATATTTAATTTACAAATATATTTTCTTTATTTAGAGTTTATGGTCAGAATGATGAAGATTTTTTACCTGTAAACTCTAACTTAAATTCCTTTGTTCATCAAATGATTGAATCAGAAGGAGAAACTGAAATATTAAATGAACATGTTGTTAAGGAATCGGATTCAGAAAATCATATGTCTGAAGGAGTTAATATGATACCAATTATTGATGTTTTGAACTCCGTTGAAAATAATTCTGATAATGATTTAGAATATGATAATTTTTATGTCTTACCAAAACATCACCGGTGCGCTGCCCATACACTCAACTTAGTGGCAATAAAGGTAAATTATTATTTATGACATATAATTGAAATTGTGAAATTAAACTAAATATTTTATACTAATTAATATCACAAACATTTTATTACAGGACTCTGAGAGTGCATTGAATAATTATACATATAAGAAGCAAAGTCGAGCGACTTTTGCAAAGCTAAATGGTATTTTCAATAAACAAAATCGTTCAACCCAATTCGCTGACACTATTAAAAATACAATAGGTGTATATTTTAAAACCCCTAATGTAACAAGATGGAATTCTTTGTTTGATAGTGTAAGATTTCTCTTAAGCCATTATAAGTCTGCACCTTCTAAATTTAACTCGATGTGTGATGAAATAAAAATTACAAGATTTAATAAGAATGATATAGAATTTATTGAAGAGTACTGTGCAGTAATGGAGCCTTTAGCAGTTTCACTTGATATACTTCAGGTAAAATTTATTGAACTGAATATTTGTTGAAATATAAAAGAATTATAATTTTTATATCTAAGTAATGAAATGTATTTAAATAAATTAACAAAATTCCTGACAATTATTTATATTCATCAAACTCTTGAATGTGAATAATTGAGTCACATAAACTGTTTTTATGTTATTTTTATTTGTATCTATTTTTATTTCAGGGTGATCATAAAATGTATTTCGGATTTTTACTACCCACTATTACTGAAATTCTACTAAAAATAGAAAATCTCAAGCTCAAAAAAATGAGTTATTGTAATCCCTTGGTTATTGCTTTATATCATGGAATTTCAAGAAGATTTGGTGAACTTCTGCATGATAAATTCCTAATCATTGCAAGTATATCTCATCCATTTTTTAAAACTGCTTGGATCTCAAATACTGAAAAAAAAAATGAAGCAATTTCTCTTTTAAGAGAAGCTGTAATATCTGCTCATTCGAATGAACAAGACAATATTGATTTAAATAAATCCATTAACAGTAGTGATGAAGATAAAGATGTCAGTGCATCATTTTTTACATGGTCCCAAAAAAAATCTGAAAATGTTTCAGTTGAAAATGAATTGAATGATTTTTTTAAGAAAGGCCCCACTAAGAAACTAAATGTTTTGAATTCCATGCCTACTCTAAAAAAAGTATTTATACAATACAATACTCCACTTCCATCCAGTACCGCTGTAGAAAGAGTGTTCAGTGTTGGAGGTGCTGTGCTGTCCAAAAAAAGAGGCAAAATGAATGATGAACATTTTGAAAAGACTATGATTTTAAAATCCAATAAAGACTTTTGGTATTAATGTGTTTAGTGTTGGAGGTGCTGTGCTGTCCAAAAAAAGAGGCAAAATGACAATTTTGAAAAGACTATGATTTTAAAATCCAATAAAGACTTGGTATTAATTTTTGTTTTTATTTTTATTTTTTTTCCTGTTGAATAATTGAATAGTATACATACGTAATATATACATTAATACAAATATTTTCACTACAGAAATATAGCATTTATATATAAATTATTTTCTCCAGAAGCTAGGTTTGTTGTGGAGATAAAGGTTCTTATAATATCTATTTAGTTCTCATACAATAAATAATTAAAACTATCATTCGGTGATTATTAACTTATCATACAATTATAGGTACCTTGGTTAGTACCAGAATATGGAACATGCATTATAATATATGAACTATTAAGTATTAACTATATAATAATAATTAATATGTACAGTTTGAATGAGTTTGATCTCATGGTCAAATTTAAAGTTAAAATATCAGAGAAAAAGTATTGAACCCAAAGGTAAAACTTAAAACAAATGTATTAAAATAAGTATTTGTGTTTAAATACTTTCTAAGTATTTGTATTTGTTCTTAAATACTTATTGAAAAAAGTACTTTAAATACTATTTAAATACTTTTTAAGTTGATGTATTTGTATCTCTATTTAAATACAAATTAAAAGTATCTTTTTACAAGACTGCTCATTACCAATGCCTAGTTCTTCAAAACCAATCCAGGCTAAAAGAAGTATTATGACATCTCGCTTATCAGCAGCTCTAGATAAATGCAAAATTAGTGATCGGGATGCAGTGCATTTATTAACAGCTGCAGCTGAAAGTTTTCAGGTAAATTGTTTGGAATTTACAATAAATAGGTCAACTATTAAACAAGCCCGTGAACATTTTCGTAAGCAGTCATCTGAAGCTTTTAAATCAACATTTATTGATCAAAATTTAAATTATGTAATTGTACACTGGGATTATAAATTATTGCCTGATATATTAAGTAAAGAAAATACAGATAGACTTCCTGTCATTGTATCGGCTTCGAATGTAGAAAAACTTTTAGGGGTTCCTGCTCTAACTTCGGGTACTGGAGAAAAAATATCTTCGGCAGTCTACAATTTATTATTAGATTGGAATTTGGTGGATAAAGTTCAGGCGTTTGTGTTTGATACCACAGCAAGTAATAGTGGTCGTCTTAATGGGGTATGTGTTCTTTTAAAACAATTATTAAACCGTGATCTTTTATTTTTCGCATGTCGTCATCATATATTTGAGATAGTTTTGCAAGCTGTGTTTGCTCATGTGAAGATTACTGTTATGAATGGTCCTGACATACCTTTATTTAAA